ATTTGAGCATGTTGGGGAAGAAGATTTTCATGCCGCCGAAGGAGTTGAAGCACGTGGCGAAGAGGAGATTATGGCAAGCCTCGTCACGTGATACACCCAGTTTTTCAGCTTGATCAAGAATCGGTGTAGAGTTCTGGTAAAAGAAATCGTATAATCTCTGATAATCTTTCTTGATCAAAAATGGCGGCAGAGAAAAGTTATGAAGAATCCCATCTTCTATTGGTCTAGGTAGGCCAAGAAGCAGTAATGGATGCAGTTGAAAAAGTACCCATTTGCTAACCAGCTTGGGTCCGTCAGAGCCGAGCTTCGAATCAACTGGGTTTGCGCCATATAACGATCTAGCCAAGAAATTAAACGCGGCTTGATCATTGGCTTGGCCGAAGCTGGCTTTACCTTTTGTAGCCAATTCCCCCTCCAAATTCTCAAACAGTTCTGTATAACAGTTTTGGAACTCCGGAATCACTTGATCACGCCGATGAGACAGTAAAAAGAACATGATTTTTTTCAGCTTAGCGTGGCTCGGCTCGGATGGGTCTAAATATGATAGGACTCTGTATCCGCCGGTGAGTTCCGTGGACGGCATAAAATTACCAGTGAACAAATCTTTCTTTTCGACTTTATCCGTGTCGAATAAGGCCGGAAAACTTTTTCCGTCGAGCAAGGCTATTACTTTAGAGTTACACGAAATGAGAGATCCCGGAGGCATATTTGTTCTGAAAACTGTGGACTGGAATTTCTGAATTCGGGACCTGAAGAATTCATCTCTTCCCTGGTTATAAAAATAGTCTTGTCTGTCAATCCAAGGACCGATCAACGGGAGCCCGTAGTCTCCTGGGATTTTACGGATGGGGAGCTTTTTGGGTTCTGGTGGAACCACATTCGTTGCCAGTGGTGGAGGCGGCGGAGCTGGCGGTGCAATAGATAGTTTCTCTGATACAGAAGCTAGGTGGAGAGTGGGCTCAAATTTAAAGTGCTTCGGTTTCGGAGGAGGTAATTTTGATGAAGGGAATTGCACTTGCAGATGAAGAGAAGAGAAAGATACAGAAGATGAAGCCATGGATTTACAGAGTTCTCTGTTGTTGGAGATACAAAATCGAATAGAAATGAAGTCTTGTGGAGTTAAAAGTGGCATCAACTCTTGGCTGTATAAATAGGCAGAATTAATAAACTTATAATTCGAATAAAAATAATAAAATTTATTAATGCACCTTAGTGGGAAAAGCTGTAGGGCCCTTTGCCCTTTTACAGCATGGTTTGTGATTTGAATTAAGTTAAATGAACATAATGTTTGACATAGAGGTTGATCGACCTCTCATATTGTATGTAAGTCCTGACCTGAATTAAATAATGCCGACCTCCCTCATGTGTGTGTGTTGTGTCATCCCTTATATCAAACATTATGTTTGTGTAGCAAAACTCGAGTGATTTTTGTAACAATCGTGTTATATGTTGATTTTCTTTTGACATTAATTTTCACACTTTCATGCGGCAAAATTTGCGCTCCGGATTTTAAATATATCCATCAACTCACTACACAAATTTCTTCTACATATGAAATGTCAACCACATTGTACGTATAACTTAATTCATATTATTATATTGTATGTAAATCTAAAATTTTCTCTAATTTTTAATCACGCGTTCTTAAAAAAAATCATTATTACAAAATATATTTTTTCTAAAAATAGGATTCAAACAAACCCTTTACAAATTAAAATTGTTCACATTAGGTATTGATTAAAATCTTTATAAAAAACTAAGACAAAATCAATAATTAATTTTAATTACAAATTTATCTCGTGTTTGACAATCATTATTACAAAATTTTTTAATTTTCATGCTCATTTTCAATAACAAATTTACACAATAAAATATTTTCCGCGTAAGTTCAAAATTTTTATCTACTTTTCAAACTATACACTCTCCAAAAAAACAACTCTTCAAAACTCTATTTTCTCAAAATAATGATCATCAAACATAGCTTAATGACATTCTCTACTTTTCAATATATATTTCATTAACTTTTATTAAAATTTACTAAAAGTTTGATATTTTAACTTTATGATTTGGAAAGGTCTTTCATAAGAGATTTGTAATATTTGAAAGAAAAACAAAAACCTTTGTAATTCTTTTGGAGTATCTATTTAATTTTGAATAAAATTATATGTACATTGTTTGTTGATAATGTAATTGACACTCCTATGTGTCAAAAAATTGGACTATGATATGATGGTTATGGTCAAAATTAATGATGTAGACGTAACTACATGAAATAGTGTAAATTTTGATGTCAATTACATTGTACATGTAACATGATTGTTTAATTTCTAATGGAAAATGTCGGATGTACCGAATGGAGGTACCGAATGGTGTACCCCCTCACAATGTGTGCGGGCCCCGTGTGTGTTTAAAAATGGCGGTTCGTGGTCCCCACCTCCTAATGTGAGTGGAGTGTAAAAAATTATGTAAAAAAATTATGTGCATGTAGCATAACCCATTTCTAATACATGAGATAGCTTCTCTATATAGCCTTTTAATTTTCTTCATACTTAAAATTAAAAGTTAAAACTACTAGTTATAATTTGAAACAGCGTTTTAGTGGGCAGTTTAGGATTATTCAAATTCAAACTCCGACGAGTGAATAGATTAAATCGCGTGTCAATTTCCCACTTTCATTTTAATGGCGTTTGTCAAAAGCGTGTCGCACTTTCTTTGAAATATTCCCAGCTACGACTTTTATTATTTATTCCCCTTTGATTTATCTTTGACGTGTTTCATGGTCAAATTTCAAACTTCAGAACATGATTAAAGACCAATTCAGAAAAGCTCAATTGTTATTTGCAATTCAACGATCAAGTCAATAACCGAAACATTAAAGTAAATAAGTGCAACTTCTTCCAACTTAAAACTAGAACAATCAATGTTGGACAAACAAATTTGTGCACGTTTTTTATCAAGTTTCTCTCTGTAGTTTCTTTCTGTAAACTCTCACAATTTTGGATGAACGTAATTTTACATCTTGAATTATTTTGTTAAGTTTATTTCTCGTATTCAAATATTATTCCTTTCTACCACAATCTTTTATTTTTCCTGATAGATATTTATTTTTAACTCAACGAATTTGGGTCACACCCAACAATCTCCACTTGACCAAAAATTTTCAAATAATGACACACCTGGATACCGATCATGCCACCCATTTATTTGTAGGTGCCAGCATGTTCATTTAGTTGTAGTAAGCATAACTAAATTCAAAAACTCATCACATTTGACTTTGCAATTTGATTTCTTCGTACTATAATCTTCAATTTTCTTTTCATTGTCCATGTAACTCGTCTTGGCCACTTTTCACAATCTTTGACAATAGTGAGAACTTCAAGTCTATGTTATTCTATCACAAAAAAATTCACCATTTATGCAACAAAAACTGAGAACTTAAAAATGAGTTCAACAAGCTGTCGCGACCACAAGATAATAATAATTAACGTACAATACACATACATTCATACCCTTTATTTTTTTTCTAGTTACTCTCTATATTTTATGTTGTAAAATCTCAAATTTTGGATGTACATTAATTAGTCCGAATTCACGTTATCTTTGTATTAATCACTATTCTCCTCGATGTAAATTCATGAATTTATAAGAAATACGTTGAACTCTTCTAGTAAATTTCCTTCAACTATTTAAATTATTTCCTATTACCATAAAAACGTGTTTTCTTGCTCTCTTTTTTTCAATTTTGTAGTCATACAATAATATTATTTTATTTTTCATCATATGATTCTTTTATTTAACAAATCCGGAGTAAACTCGGGATGTCAGTGGATGTGAGATGTTAAAGTTGTGTTTGATTTGCTGTTTTCAAGTTTTCATTTTCAGTTTGCAAAATACTGAAAATGAATTTGGTCTAGTATTTCTAAAAATGTATTTTGGAAAATAAAGATAAACTTATAACATAAACTCAAAAAGTATTTTTGATATTTTGAACGTTTTCAGTGACAATTTTGAAAACATTAAAAAAAAAAAAAAAAGCATT